GCGCTGTGCCGCTCGAGCACAGGGAGCATTCGCGCCCAGCTTTCAGATCAGACCGCGAGATTGAAAGACGGGGGAAAGTGTTTGGCTGGAGTGATTCCTGCGGGTCTGAGCAATTAGCTGGTCTAGCTTTGAATCAGAGCTGTGCCGCTCGAGCAGAGGGAGCATTTGCGCCCAGCTTTCAGATCAGACCGCGAGATTGAAAGAAGGGGGAAAGTGTTTGGCTGGAGTGATTCCTGCGAGTCTGAGCAATTAGCTGGTCTAGCTTTGAATAAGCGCTGTGCCGCTCGAGCAGAGGGAGCATTTGCGCCCAGCTTTCAGATCAGACCGCGAGATTGAAAGAAGGGGGAAAGTGTTTGGCTGGAGTGATTCCTGCGAGTCTGAGCAATTAGCTGGTCTAGCTTTGAATAAGCGCTGTGCCGCTCGAGCACAGGGAGCATTCGCGCCCAGCTTTCAGATCAGACCGCGAGATTGAAAGACGGGGGAAAGTGTTTGGCTGGAGTGATTCCTGCGGGTCTGAGCAATTAGCTGGTCTAGCTTTGAATCAGAGCTGTGCCGCTCGAGCAGAGGGAGCATTTGCGCCCAGCTTTCAGATCAGACCGCGAGATTGAAAGACGGGGGAAAGTGTTTGGCTGGAGTGATTCCTGCGAGTCTGAGCAATTAGCTGGTCTAGCTTTGAATCAGAGCTGTGCCGCTCGAGCAGAGGGAGCATTTGCGCCCAGCTTTCAGATCAGACCGCGAGATTGAAAGACGGGGGAAAGTGTTTGGCTGGAGTGATTCCTGCGAGTCTGAGCAATTAGCTGATCTAGCTTTGAATCAGAGCTGTGCCGCTCGAGCAGAGGGAGCATTTGCGCCCAGCTTTCAGATCAGACCGCGAGATTGAAAGACGGGGGAAAGTGTTTGGCTGGAGTGATTCCTGCGAGTCTGAGCAATTAGCTGGTCTAGCTTTGAATAAGAGCTGTGCCGCTCGAGCACAGGGAGCATTTGCGCCCAGCTTTCAGATCAGACCGCGAGATTGAAAGACGGGGGAAAGTGTTTGGCTGGAGTGATTCCTGCGAGTCTGAGCAATTAGCTGGTCTAGCTTTGAATCAGAGCTGTGCCGCTCGAGCAGAGGGAGCATTTGCGCCCAGCTTTCAGATCAGACCGCGAGATTGAAAGACGGGGGAAAGTGTTTGGCTGGAGTGATTCCTGCGAGTCTGAGCAATTAGCTGGTCTAGCTTTGAATCAGAGCTGTGCCGCTCGAGCAGAGGGAGCATTTGCGCCCAGCTTTCAGATCAGACCGCGAGATTGAAAGACGGGGGAAAGTGTTTGGCTGGAGTGATTCCTGCGAGTCTGAGCAATTAGCTGGTCTAGCTTTGAATCAGAGCTGTGCCGCTCGAGCAGAGGGAGCATTTGCGCCCAGCTTTCAGATCAGACCGCGAGATTGAAAGACGGGGGAAAGTGTTTGGCTGGAGTGATTCCTGCGAGTCTGAGCAATTAGCTGGTCTAGCTTTGAGTAAGAGCTGTGCCGCTCGAGCACAGGGAGCATTTGCGCCCAGCTTTCAGATCAGACCGCGAGATTGAAAGACGGGGGAAAGTGTTTGGCTGGAGTGATTCCTGCGAGTCTGAGCAATTAGCTGGTCTAGCTTTGAATCAGAGCTGTGCCGCTCGAGCAGAGGGAGCATTTGCGCCCAGCTTTCAGATCAGACCGCGAGATTGAAAGACGGGGGAAAGTGTTTGGCTGGAGTGATTCCTGCGAGTCTGAGCAATTAGCTGGTCTAGCTTTGAATCAGAGCTGTGCCGCTCGAGCAGAGGGAGCATTTGCGCCCAGCTTTCAGATCAGACCGCGAGATTGAAAGACGGGGGAAAGTGTTTGGCTGGAGTGATTCCTGCGAGTCTGAGCAATTAGCTGGTCTAGCTTTGAATCAGAGCTGTGCCGCTCGAGCAGAGGGAGCATTTGCGCCCAGCTTTCAGATCAGACCGCGAGATTGAAAGACGGGGGAAAGTGTTTGGCTGGAGTGATTCCTGCGAGTCTGAGCAATTAGCTGATCTAGCTTTGAATCAGAGCTGTGCCGCTCGAGCAGAGGGAGCATTTGCGCCCAGCTTTCAGATCAGACCGCGAGATTGAAAGACGGGGGAAAGTGTTTGGCTGGAGTGATTCCTGCGAGTCTGAGCAATTAGCTGGTCTAGCTTTGAATAAGAGCTGTGCCGCTCGAGCACAGGGAGCATTTGCGCCCAGCTTTCAGATCAGACCGCGAGATTGAAAGACGGGGGAAAGTGTTTGGCTGGAGTGATTCCTGCGAGTCTGAGCAATTAGCTGGTCTAGCTTTGAATCAGAGCTGTGCCGCTCGAGCAGAGGGAGCATTTGCGCCCAGCTTTCAGATCAGACCGCGAGATTGAAAGACGGGGGAAAGTGTTTGGCTGGAGTGATTCCTGCGAGTCTGAGCAATTAGCTGGTCTAGCTTTGAATCAGAGCTGTGCCGCTCGAGCAGAGGGAGCATTTGCGCCCAGCTTTCAGATCAGACCGCGAGATTGAAAGACGGGGGAAAGTGTTTGGCTGGAGTGATTCCTGCGAGTCTGAGCAATTAGCTGGTCTAGCTTTGAATCAGAGCTGTGCCGCTCGAGCAGAGGGAGCATTTGCGCCCAGCTTTCAGATCAGACCGCGAGATTGAAAGACGGGGGAAAGTGTTTGGCTGGAGTGATTCCTGCGAGTCTGAGCAATTAGCTGGTCTAGCTTTGAATAAGAGCTGTGCCGCTCGAGCACAGGGAGCATTTGCGCCCAGCTTTCAGATCAGACCGCGAGATTGAAAGACGGGGGAAAGTGTTTGGCTGGAGTGATTCCTGCGAGTCTGAGCAATTAGCTGGTCTAGCTTTGAATCAGAGCTGTGCCGCTCGAGCAGAGGGAGCATTTGCGCCCAGCTTTCAGATCAGACCGCGAGATTGAAAGACGGGGGAAAGTGTTTGGCTGGAGTGATTCCTGCGAGTCTGAGCAATTAGCTGGTCTAGCTTTGAATCAGAGCTGTGCCGCTCGAGCAGAGGGAGCATTTGCGCCCAGCTTTCAGATCAGACCGCGAGATTGAAAGACGGGGGAAAGTGTTTGGCTGGAGTGATTCCTGCGAGTCTGAGCAATTAGCTGGTCTAGCTTTGAATAAGAGCTGTGCCGCTCGAGCAGAGGGAGCATTTGCGCCCAGCTTTCAGATCAGACCGCGAGATTGAAAGACGGGGGAAAGTGTTTGGCTGGAGTGATTCCTGCGAGTCTGAGCAATTAGCTGGTCTAGCTTTGAATAAGAGCTGTGCCGCTCGAGCACAGGGAGCATTTGCGCCCAGCTTTCAGATCAGACCGCGAGATTGAAAGACGGGGGAAAGTGTTTGGCTGGAGTGATTCCTGCGAGTCTGAGCAATTAGCTGGTCTAGCTTTGAATCAGAGCTGTGCCGCTCGAGCAGAGGGAGCATTTGCGCCCAGCTTTCAGATCAGACCGCGAGATTGAAAGACGGGGGAAAGTGTTTGGCTGGAGTGATTCCTGCGAGTCTGAGCAATTAGCTGGTCTAGCTTTGAATCAGAGCTGTGCCGCTCGAGCAGAGGGAGCATTTGCGCCCAGCTTTCAGATCAGACCGCGAGATTGAAAGACGGGGGAAAGTGTTTGGCTGGAGTGATTCCTGCGAGTCTGAGCAATTAGCTGGTCTAGCTTTGAATCAGAGCTGTGCCGCTCGAGCAGAGGGAGCATTTGCGCCCAGCTTTCAGATCAGACCGCGAGATTGAAAGACGGGGGAAAGTGTTTGGCTGGAGTGATTCCTGCGAGTCTGAGCAATTAGCTGGTCTAGCTTTGAATAAGAGCTGTGCCGCTCGAGCACAGGGAGCATTTGCGCCCAGCTTTCAGATCAGACCGCGAGATTGAAAGACGGGGGAAAGTGTTTGGCTGGAGTGATTCCTGCGAGTCTGAGCAATTAGCTGGTCTAGCTTTGAATCAGAGCTGTGCCGCTCGAGCAGAGGGAGCATTTGCGCCCAGCTTTCAGATCAGACCGCGAGATTGAAAGACGGGGGAAAGTGTTTGGCTGGAGTGATTCCTGCGAGTCTGAGCAATTAGCTGGTCTAGCTTTGAATCAGAGCTGTGCCGCTCGAGCAGAGGGAGCATTTGCGCCCAGCTTTCAGATCAGACCGCGAGATTGAAAGACGGGGGAAAGTGTTTGGCTGGAGTGATTCCTGCGAGTCTGAGCAATTAGCTGGTCTAGCTTTGAATAAGAGCTGTGCCGCTCGAGCACAGGGAGCATTTGCGCCCAGCTTTCAGATCAGACCGCGAGATTGAAAGACGGGGGAAAGTGTTTGGCTGGAGTGATTCCTGCGAGTCTGAGCAATTAGCTGGTCTAGCTTTGAATCAGAGCTGTGCCGCTCGAGCAGAGGGAGCATTTGCGCCCAGCTTTCAGATCAGACCGCGAGATTGAAAGACGGGGGAAAGTGTTTGGCTGGAGTGATTCCTGCGAGTCTGAGCAATTAGCTGATCTAGCTTTGAATAAGAGCTGTGCCGCTCGAGCAGAGGGAGCATTTGTGCCCAGCTTTCGATTCAGACCGTGAAAGTAAAGGATGGAGGATCGCAGCGAGCGTCACCGACCGCGACCATCTGTGTCTCAACAGTACGTAGCTGCCCGTGCGCCTCGAATATACACACATGCAGAGGTGCCGTAGTGCTAATACACTGTTTTCACGCGTTAAAGAAACACACCCATTGCGTCCATTGGCGATTTTGTCCTCTTTAAAGAAGCTTTAACAAGTTACTATTCATGATCTGTGCCGGACTAACCATTTTCAGCGTTTTTTGTACTTCCGTTGCCCACCCCCTTTGTAATGCTTCGGCCCTGAGGGTATAATAAATAAATAAATAAATAAATAAATAAATAAAAACTAGTTTGCTGATCTCTGGTCACCTATTCACAGTAAAAATCTGGAATACGCTCGGGCGCGGCGATCCAGCTGCCGTGCTCGCTATACGTACCTCTCTCAAAACAAACGTTGAGAAATGAATACTTACTTAGGAGGTTGCCGATGGTCTTCCAGGAATTCTCCCGCTTTATCTTATCACGATAATCGTGTCGGGATGTATCCCATATCCATGGGAACTGCTCAACTTTTTCAATAAGTGCTACCTCGAAACAAGAACTAAACTCGTCGGCCATCTTCGAGGGAACGGGAGTCGGGACAGACGGGATGAAGAAAAAGGTAGGAGGAGCCACATTCCTTTTTTTTTTTTTTTGTCGACTCCTTATTGGTTCGTCGGAGGGCCGCTTGCAACTCCTTACGACCAGGTACGACCGGCTAAGCGCAGTAGCGCAGACCTCGGCGTCCTCGGTTGCCATGGCAACCAAGTGGTTTAAGAGGTTTCAAGAAGTTTTAGTGCACTCGGTCGAAGTCGGTCGCAAGAGTGTGAACGGGCCTTTATTGTATATAGCAGGTGTGGCCAGGATGCCCCGGCCTAAGAGCCGCAAGCAAAATCCCAAAACTTCTAAGAGTCGCGGCGGGGGGGGGGGGGGGAGCCAAATTTTGTCCAGACTCTGGACAAAAGTTGGCAAGACTTTGGTACAGCAAAACTTTTGCCCTTTCATACAAGCGTTCCAGACGCGCCTTCACTAACCGCTGCCTAGTAATCCCCCCCCCCCCCCCAAAAAAAGCATAAAGAAGCAGCTTCTTTATAAACTTGAACATAACGTCTTTGACTAGTGGAAGCTATGTATGAGTTCAAACAGGGTTTCCTCGACCTTCAAGAAGAAACGATATGGAGGGAACATCCGTTATTCTTTATCTAAAGAGGACAGGTATCACCGGCGAGCAACAAAGGCCTTGAGACAGAACATTTCCTCAACCCCAAGCCAAAGTGCATACATGATTTGAGAGTCCCTGCCCTTGCTGCCTTTCCCCCTATGGTCTTGCAAACTCCCTCGAACATTGAAAGAAGCATGATCTGTGCAAATATACGAGTGAAAAGCGGCTCGACTGTACGTACGGGGGTACAAGGCTGCCAAACCGCAAGCTCTTCTTTATTATGAAATCCTTTCTTTCATTCTTGGGGAAACGCGGAAAGGGGCAGAGGGGGGGAGGGGAGGGGGAGTCACTTTACGAGGGATCCGCGAGCCGCACATGAACCAGCAAAGAGCCGCATGCGGCTCGAGAGCCACGGTTTGGCCACCCCTGGTATATAGATACCATACGGTAGCAGAGTTGCGTCCGTAGCGCCGGCTTTTTGCACGGCCCTGGATGCTTTGCTCGTCACGTGACTAAATTCGGTGTGACGCCGCCGCGCATAAGAAATTAGAGGAGGACACTTGAGACTGCTTACGTGTAGGAATGCGAAAGCGTTCGCTGCTATCCTCCGCTGAGGCCGGTCGGGCGGCCTCCGTGGACGCTGTCCGGCCGGGCTCTGGGTAGCGGCGGGTGTGCGCTGCTGCGACAGCGAGCGGTGGCAGTGCCAGGAGTGTGGGCTGGCGTTTCTTGGAACTATGAGGAGTGCGGGCCGCGCCTCAGCCATTTTAAGAGCCGTTACGGCGCAGAGAAAATATCTCTGCCATTTTTCGCGGTTAAGGACAACGCCGGCTCCGCTCAATAAAACTATTAATGCTTTCGCATAAAAAAAAGATATAAAAACAGAAAAGGAGAAGAGGGAGGGGGAAGCAGGGCAACGTACGTCGGCGGAGCGACCGTAGCGGTGGCTTTCCTGCATGGCACTAGGTGCTCTGCTCCTCACGTGCTCGATTTCGGCAAATAGCGCATGGCGGCTCGGAGAAAACAAATCCGCAACTCTGTTCCCCCTTCGGGGGAGTATAACAAAAAACTGCACACCTGTTTTTTTTTCCCCAAGAGTGGCTGATGGGGCAACTCGTCTCGTCTCTTTTGCTGTGTACGGAAACCAGACTTGTGACTATCTCAAATACTCGACTCAAGATACTATATTTAAAATACTTTTGAAGTATCTTGGTATCTTGCAAATACTTCTGATCGAGAGTATTTGATACTCTGTTTTGATTACCTTTCTGAGTATCTTGTAGTCATTATCTCAACTTCACATTCGGCCATTTTCCGAGTTTTTCGGTATGAAGTGGCGTGGGCGTTGCACGAGCAAACGTCAACATTCTTTTGGGGCAACCAAATCGTGTTGCTAGCTCCGATTAGCTAAGGTGACTTTGATTGAACTCACGAAAAAAGCATCGCTTTTTTGCCGATTGTGACTCATATTTCAGTCCAAAGATCGTACAATGAAGGTTTCCCCTTGCCTTACCAAATGCGCCTTTTGTTATTTAGAGTTTCCCCCGAAAAATCCTCAAACAAAAGGGGTGGCTTTACTAAAGTAAAGATTGCCACACTGAGGCACAACGCAGACTGGGAAATGACCTACGACAGCAATGCGGACTTAAGTGTGAAAAAAAAAAATAAATAAAAAAGTATGAGAAGTGGGCACAAAAAAAAGTTTGTTTTGCTTGTTGTATATTTAACCCTGCTATGGCAAAACGTCGAGGTTTTCTTCTGTTTATTTTCCCTTTGTCGTCAGTCTGTCACTTATTTCACACATTTCTATCGCGAACACTCTGTAAGCGAGCATTGATAAGCAGAGAACAGGACAGGAAACTAACTAAAAGCTGGATGACTCTCAAAATTCTAACAAACCGTCCCCCAACGTTAAGTGCCTTTCTGAACGCAACCTACTTGAAGAAGGTTCGACCACTAACGTGGCTATTATGTGGGAACTCTTTGTTTTCCATTCACTCCTATTCGTATGCCAAGTTTGTTTATAGTGAACTCACCATATAAAGAATATGGACTGTAGTTAAACGATGCGTCTAAGGTGCGGCGCAGGACGTGATATTCTTTTTTTTTTTCTGTCCCAAAAATGGCTCGTAATACCGCTTGTCAGACGTGTAATCGTATTGGTTGTTTCAAATAAAATAACTTCTTGATAATAAACGAGGTCTTGACAAATGGGTTTTTGGAATTAAAAAACACTGGATTTAATATTCTTGATACAATTTTAGTTTACAAGACGGACACTATTCGTGGTCGCGCACCACCATCGCACACACACTCTCGCTATGAGTCCCGCTGTTAGACTGCCGCATAGTTTTCTTGAGCAGCTTGGTCTCGCCCAAGGCTGTAACCCGATCCGCATCCTGCCCGACGCCAGCCAGTCGCGCCTTCGTGGCACGGGCATCTACGCGCGAGATTCCCGGCGCCGAGGAGTTCAAAATAAAACACAATCTTCTGAGAACTGAACCGTGCGCCCAGCGAAATAAAAGAAAAAGGCAGAACACAATAGACCCGTTGCCCTGGGGCAGGGGGCGGGAGTGCGTCCGGAAGACGTATGCAAGACGCGACCAGGTTATGCTGGCTGCATCATCCGTGTGGCGCTGTAGCGTTCGATTTTGCAGGTGCCACGTTCGAAGGCAAGCAGCTGTCAGCATCTGTAGATGCGCGGTAACAAATCGTCTAATAAAAGGGAAAAAAAAAATTATGCAGCTCGACGCCGCAGCGAATTATGAAAGGAATTAAACATTCATTTCATCTTTGCTTTCTTTCCTAGCTTCCTCGTGCACGTATATTTCACTTTACGTGATAGCGAAGCCGAAGCAACGCGCAAAAGCGCGTCCTCCTGAACGATGCTCGCACTGCACAGGCGCGCGTGCTTGGCAGGAACGCTGAAAGCTCGCAGCTCGCTCTTGTAGCCTCTGCTACGCTGGCACTTAGAATCAACGGAGTATAAAAAACTCTAGTGGGGAAGCGTATTGATGCACGTTCGAAACGCGAGCCAAATATTCTGCTCTGCTCGCCTGGAGCGCTGCATAAAACTTGAGAGCTACGGGTCTATGGCGCCTGCTTGGAATGCGCTCGGCGAAATAAAATAAAAGAGCCAGTACAGAATGGCGCTCGCTTACAGACGGGAAAGTAAATTTCATTTTGATCGAATGTCATTCACCGCTCGGCGAATCAGATCGTGATCCTGGTTCTGCGCGTTGCGCGTGGACGTGCCGCGTGGCGTGTTAAACACGCGGATTGGACGACTTGTTATGTCATTTTGCTTAAATGTCATTTAACGTGCCCGTCTGACAGGGGTATAACATGTATCAGTGATATTGCCAAGCGCAATGCCGAGCGAGCGCGTGCCTGAATGGTTACCGCGCTTGGCTCTCGCGCGGAGCCTCCGGATTCGATTCCAGGGAGCGGACTCTTCTTTTTTTTATTCTTTCAACTTGACATTCTCGTAACTTCGACAACTTTGTCGTGTGATCGAGTTACGAATGTTCTACGCGCCGAAAGTTCTACACCGAATGTTCCACAAACCCACGCGTGTACAAAACGTGCTCCGCGTGGCGGTATGGAGTCAGTCTCGTCCCAGCGCTCTATCCCGCTATTTCGCCGACATCGACGCCTGGGACGCTGGCCTTTCTCTATTTTGTTTTGGACACAAGTTCGCTCCATTAAACGTTTAGTTTCTAGTTATTCACGGCCTCATCACTTGCCATTCGTGACAATTTGCTGCTGCTGATAGTTGGACTGCATAAAACAGTCCTGCAATCTGTGCGCGTGTGTGTGTGTGTGTTTTCATGCTAAAGCATTAATTGTTTTATGGAGCGATCCGGCATTCCCAGCTTTTGAAGCCGCGCAAAACGGTACCTAAATTCCCCTGTCCAGTGGAGCGAAGCCTGTAGTCTGTAGCGGCGAATCGATGGATAGATTCCTTTTGGCTCATTGTCACGAGTCCCCCGTGGTTCGCGCTCGGCCGCCGCTCTCCTGTACGCGTTGACGGGGCTGCGGCCGCTTGGGGGCGCCTGAAGCCTCTATATTGCCGGCGGCCACTACCTCGGTAGTAGCTAAACCCGCCCGTCCACACAGCTACATCGCAGACGAACTAAGGGAGCGGAAGGACGACATTTATGCTTTCGGATTCAAAACTCATAAAAAGTGCTTAGTTTTCCTCGGAATTTGTTTCCCCGTTTTGTGTTGTTACCAGCTAATAAACCATTCCGGTAAACCAGATTTGTACAACTGTATAATTGTCGTTTTCACTGACGTCGATACAAATTACGCAATGCGGAATTATCTTCAAAAGTAATTGAACTTGTATT